TGCAGACTTCCGAGTGATCTTCTTCCAGATTGGTGGGGTCAATTTTAGCATCACTTTGTCACCCACTTCGAACTATACTGCCCTCCTTTTCTCATTTGCCCACTTCTTCATCCTCTTTACTGCCTTAGTCAGGCAGTCCTTTGCCTCGTCGGTCCTCTCCTGGTTGGCCCGAGCGAAAGGTATGTTGCAGGACGTCTCCCTTGAGACTTCTGCTAGGCAACTTCGTAGGGAGTAAGAGGCTGTTGGCCGGTTGCCAACTTGAATGGGCTCATTCCAGTGGAAGAGCTTTGTTGCAAATTATAACTGAATTGGGCTACATCAAGTAAATCCACCCAATTGTCCTGGTTCGCCATGACAATGTCTGAGATATTCCTCTAGCATTGCATTAACCCGCTCAGTCTGCCCATCTGTCTGCGGATGATTGCTGGTGGAAAGGTTGGACTGTGTGCCCAACAGTTCAAATAATGCCGTCCAGAACCGACCAGTAAACTGAGTGTCTCTGTCACTGACTATATCCAACGGAAGATCCCAAAGCTTCACAATATGCTTGAGGAACAACTGAACAGTAACTTCAGCAGAACATACTTTTGGAGCTGTAATGAAAGTGGCATACTTAGAAAATCTATCTACAACCACAAATATCAAAGTAAAATTGTTCACCTTAGGCAAGCCATTAATGAAGTCCATGGAAACACTCTCCCAAGGTCTGCTTAGAATAGGAAGAGGTTCCAAAGTACCCGCCATCTTCCTCCTTTTTGTTTTGTTCGATTGACACACCAGACAAGTGCACACATACAGCTCAACATCTGCTTTCATACGGAGCCAATAATAACTTTCTGCTAGTAAGGCAAAGGTCTATTCCTGCCCCGGATGCCCTGACTATCGAGCATCATGAGTTTTTTTCAGCAACATTTGTCCAAGTCCGCCTGACTTCAGAACATAGGGTCTCCTTCCTTTGTCGTAGAGTACACCATCCTTTACCCAAAACCGTCGAGTCACTCCTTCATGAACCTGTTTCAACAGAAAGCTGATCACGGGATCATCTTTTGTCTGATCCTGAATTCTTTGCAGTATATCTCCTGCAATCTGACTAAGTGCAGCCATCGCCCCATCAGCAATTGGGATCCGACTAAGGGCATCAGCAACCTAATTTGCACTGCCAGGCTTGTACTGCAACGTGAAATGGAACTGAGCAAGAAAATCCTGTCATCTTGCCTGTTTTGGTGTCAGCTTCTTCATGGAATTGAAGCAGCGAGTAGCCACATTGTCTGTCAACACAAGGAAATGCTTCCCTAACAGGTAATGCCTCCATGCATTGATGCAGTGAATGACTGTTGTCATCTCCTTCTCGTATACTGAATACCGTCTCTCAGTATCATTCATCTTCCTGCTTTCAAACGCCGCCAAATGCCCATTCTGCACCAACACCCCTCCAAGAGCAAAGTCTGATGCATCTGTATGGACTTCAAAAGGCAAATCAAAGTCAGGCAATCATAAAATTGGACTAGTCATCACCACCGCCTTTAATCGATCGAATGCCTCCTGGCATTCGTAAGGCTAGTTCCATGTCTTGTCCTTCCTCAGAAGATCTGTCAAGACATCCACCTTCTTCGAATAATTCTTCACGAACTTCCGATAATAATTCGCCAAACCAAGGAAAGATCTCAGTTCTGTAACCTTAGTAGGGACAGGCCAATCAGCAATAGCCTCAACTTTCTTTGGGTCCATCTTCACCACACCCGCAGAAATAATATGCTCATGGAATGAGATTCCTTTTGGGCAAACTCACATTTTTCTGGTTTCAGATACAACTGTGCTTCCCTCAACTTTGTCAAAGCCAACCTAAGGTACTCAACATGCTCCTCAAGAGTCTAGCTATAAACAACTATATCATCCAGATAAATAACCATAAATTTGTCCAAGTATTCTCAAAATACATTGGTCATCAAGTTACATAATGTAGCAGGGGCATTTGTTAAGCCGAAAGGCATGACTAAAAACTCATATGAACCGTACCTCGTCACACAAGCGGTCTTTGCCTCATCTCCTTCTTCAATTCTGACTTGATGATATCCCAACCGCAAGTCCATTTTAGTGAAAAAGACTGCCTTCCCCAATCTATCAAACAATTCGTCAACAAGCGACACTGGATAGTTGTTTTTGACAGTAACTTTGTTGAGAGCTCTGTAATCAACACAAAGCCGTAAGGATCTATCCTTCTTTTTTGAAACAAAACAAGGGCTCCATAGGGTGCCTTGGAAGGTCTAATGAATCCAATGTCCAACAGACCCCCAAGCTGTCTTCTTAGCTCCGCCAACTCTAATGGAGACATTCGATAAGGAGCCTGAGTAAAGATTTTTGCCCCTAGAATCAACTCGATGACATGATCAATCTCTCGTCTAGGTGGTAATCTTGCTGACAATTCTTTGGGTGCCACGTCCTTGAATTCAACCAGCAATTGTTGCACTGGTTTAGGGACTTGCACTGTTTTGAACTCCTCTTCCTCAAACAGAACAACCAAGTATGTTGCTTCTCTTCTCCGCAAGCCATCTTTTACTTGCAAGGCTGATAGCATTTCTCCCGAAGACTTGGCCTTAGTGAGGGGAACAAAACAGGGGCTAGGCATGTCCATCATCAACCCCCTCTTTGCCACCGTCTCCTCTTTGCGAATTGCATTAAGGAGTTGTAATGGATTGACTCGTGTTGGTTCGTCAGAACAGTCAGTTTCCTCAACCATGAGGGCACTGAGCTTTTCCTTCTTGGGATAATTTTTGGCACGATGAGGGTCATTACAGATAAAACAGCCTGAGTCAACACCTCCCTTTGATGAAGAGGGCTTGTCAGTCTGTTTTTCTGCGCTGCTAGACTTCTCAGCCTTTTTCTTCTGCTTGTCCTTCTTAGGGAACTTGGCTTTCCTTTTTGATTCCTTCTCTGGAGGATTTGCTTGCGACTTGTAGTCAACCAACGCATCTACTGCGGATATAACAACGGGTAAGTCCTTCACCCCTTGGCAACGAAGTTTAGCTGCGCCCAAGTTTGAAGGCCAGACATGAAATTGAACAACTTATCTTCCTTCGACATATTTTTGATATCCAGTATCAGAGACGAGAATTGCTTCACGTACGCCCTCGCGGTACTTGTATGTCGAAGTTTCCTCAATGTATCACGAGCTTGCCAAGCCGTGTTGCTCAGAAGGAATTGCTCCTTCATTTCAACAGATAGAGACTCCCAAGTCGTAATTGGAGGACGAGACTTGTCCTTAGATCGTGTTTGCCACCATAATTTCGCATCACCAAATAGGTACATGCTAGTGAGATCTACCTTTTCAACATCCGGTGAACGGACTGCTTTAAAGAAGTGCCCTATATCTCACAGAAAGTTTTCAAGTTCTTTAGCGTTACGACTACCTGTGAAAGGCTTAGGGTCAGGAACCTTAGCTTTCTCAGTGCTTTCACTGCCAGAAGCCAAAGAAACATTCTGCAGTGCCTTTTTGAGCACTGAAACGTCCATCTATAGGGAACTCAATTTTTCCCCCATATCATCGGTCCATGTGAAAATCGTAACCATCACGTCAACGACTTCGTTTTTCACTAGACTGAAGTGATCAGATTCAGTCTTTTGAAGCTATTCTTGTGCAACACGCATCTTTTCAAACTGCTGATACAACTCAAGTTGCACAGAAAGGGCCACAGGTTCATCGGACCAACCAACTCCTCCAAACGTGCCACCCTTTCCCTCAGATCTGCATTTGTTCCGCCAGCCATAGTTGATCTTTTTGCCAAAACCAACGCTCTGATACCAAACTATTACGGGATAACAACTCATTTTTCGTTTCGAGGCTATCTGTGAAGGCGTTGCTACTACAACCAGCCACTCAATCTCAAGAACAAGGGACAAAAACTCACACAGAAGGCACACACAAATTTACTAGGACAACACTCCCAAACCTTATATATTGAATTCAACAATTTACAAGGAACTCTCAAAGCCATAATACTCTCTCTGACTATCAGAATGCCCAAGCACTCCCATTTATACAAGATCATGGCAGATGACACCCTCATTTGCCAAATGGTATTTACCCACATTCTACTATTCCATAGCAGACTTGGCCATCTGGCTTCATCTTTGTGCAAAACCTGGCAGGTAGTTTCACCCATTCAGTAACTGATGTGAAACTGCCCCTCATTAGCATGCATCTGGACCAGAATCTGGCTAGGAATGCCCAGAACTGCTTCCCACAGAATAAGCCTTATTCAGCAACTGCCCACATCCTCCTGGTCACATGCATTGAGCAGCCATGTGCCAGTTATGTGTCCAAATTCAGTAGCCAGCCTTGCCTCACGAACCATTGTGCATGCTGGGTTCAGCCCATGCCATGCAATTCGAAGTTATGCACCCACATTGCCTCAATTGAGTCCACCACGTGTTGCCATGCTCGGCCGGGTGGTCTCATGCTGCCACAGTCCGCACCAATCTGTTGAACCGCATAGCCGCATCACCTTGATTCAATCTCATGGCGTGCCTTGGTGCAAGGTGCCACGAAGACCGCCATTATACACCCAAGTCAGTTAGGGTGTGACAAAAACCCAAGAGTGCCCATTGTACTCATCTCAATTAAACATTCGTATATAAAAATCTACGACGACGCTGCAGAGGAGTAAGAATACAGAATTTTGAAAGCATGCCAAGTTGAGGAAAAACATATTTCTACGTCTATGTGAGCTTTGAATATCAACACAAAGAAGAGGGAATAGCAAACAAAGGCCAACAGACACCCAAAAGTGACTATTGCACTTTGTTACCTAAAAATTCAAGCAAATTGAAGAACAACATCTTTACAAGTCTAGGCCAGCTGAATCAATGGTGTTAAGATGATGAGTGGCCATATACCAAACCAGAAGAAAAAGAAAATAGGGCACTATAGTTATCTAGGAAACTCAGATAAGAAGATAAATCAGACATCTAAAATAATGCGGCAAAGTTTCAATCAACACGTATCAAACAATATGTGCAGATAATGTAATCAAATTTGTTGAGAAAGCATACCATCCATTTGGTGGCTCGTCAATGTGGAAATCGAAGTATACATACGTCCCCTGTTCAAAATCATCAGTGGCAACTTTTGGCTCCTCATGCCGTTGAAACCATGTATTAAATTTCTTATGGTATCTCCATGATTGCTTCTTCAACTCTTTAGCAGCCAGATATTGCTGATAGGTATTCTACAGACACAATAAGTTGAGACAAGATCTTGGACATTATGCCACTACAATTATGTTGCAATACAAAAAAGAAAACTAACAGAAAACTCAAAAACCTGTTGGTAGTAAAATGAAAAGAAGAGACTATCTGTGCCGAAATTATCGGCTCCAAGACGTTCCCAGAAGGCAGGATTGTTAACAATGGGTGCCTGTACTTGAGGATAGCTTGGAGGGGTTACAGCAGGGTGCCTCTGCAAGGAGCCAAAAAAAATGATAAATAAAATTGAATTTATACAAGTGGAGTCACAAGTTACAGATCAAAGGACTTTCATACTGGAGTATAATTCCTTGCACGTTCCGAGTCCTTGGGTTGAGGAAGTTTATAGAAAGCAGCCTCAAGCATCTGTAAATTATATAACTGATCATGCATTCCCCCAGAATTCACAGTTGTTCCACCAAGGTTATCACCAATAGCACCAAGGTCAGAAACACTCCGTCGACCAATGACACCAAGGCTGCCAGAAGGTTGATTGGAAGCTAATGGTTGTCCAGGGGACAGATCAATATCCCTTGGCAGTTGGGCAGGATCTGTCAAAGAACCAGACACTCCGGCCTGCAGTAATAAACAAAAAATGACTTTTGAATTGCATAGTCACCAAATCGGCAAATAAATCCTCACATATTAGAGAAAAAACACAAGAAAAGTTTCTCATAAGGTCAAAAAATTTTGCACCATCCTATATTTCAAAAAAGAAAAATGGTTTCAACAATTAAACCACAAACAAGGTTTCAAATGCTCTATATTCAACTAAAAACAATTAACTTTAGACCTAGTTGAAATAGGACAGTTTACTATAGAACCTAGTAAGCACGGATACTGGATATGAATACAACACGATACGGTAAAATCTTAAAAAGTATAATATGATATGGCCAAGATAAGTCTATCTTGTTATATGTATGTGTGTGTGTGTGTCTATATATAATACAATATTGCTATAATACTAGGATTTGAGGGATTAGGAGATAAAACATATCCCAAACTAAAACATTTTATATTGGTGTGACATGGCCACATAGGGACTGCACAATGGTGTTTTAAATCCAATGCTTTATGTAATCCTAAAGTTGAATAGGTGTCATTCTTCGTGAGTTCTCACCTTTGACTTAGCATATAAGTGCAATAGAATTCATTGGTTTTAACATGAGCCATAAAAAATGATTACTTAGTCCAAGTAAGTTGTAAAAAATTCTCAAAATTTAGGCCAACACCATTCTGTCTAGGGTGCATGAATCCACATACCTTCTCAATCACAACAATTCTCTATAGGATGTATGTAAGGAGCTTCCAATCCCTAACTTTGCCCTGGGCACAAACTTATACTACTAGACCACTTAGCATAAAGATTAAGTCAACTCTACACAATTCACCGGACTAAGTATTAGGAGCATGTATCCACCCTATAGATATGTGTATCTGAGGTGTATCCAACAAGTATCTAACAATAATAAATATTTGGTTAATTATTTGATAACTGCGGAAGGTATCCGATATATATACTAGAGTATCGATAACAGATACAAATACGTCACTCCAATCGAAGTATTTGTGGTTCTTAGTATAAAAACTATCATATGTGAATATTAAGGCCAAGTTTAAGTAATGATTTGCTGACTATGAATCTTATTACTCAAATCCCCCCAATAGAAGGTTCCAAGTTTGCAGAACTCCCGCATACGAGTTATAACACATGTACAAGCGAAAAACACTTTTTGATTCCTGTAATGGCCTTTAAAACCATATTTAATTACCAAGGTTTCAAGGTTAAAGGGTTCTGGCTGGAGTTAGATTTCAATCAACGACTACAATAAGTTAGTACACATAAAGTGGGCAATGGCAGTAACAACTGTTAAAATGGACTAACAGATTGCGAAGATGACATTTGGCAAACAATGTGGTAGTTAGACAAAAATCCTTAACAAATGACACATGCAATGAAGAACATGTGTCCCATCATGCATTTTAATACAATCAGCACGAGATGACAATTCAAAATTGACTAGATTTTCACACCAAGCAGATGCTACACTGTAAGGGTGCTATTCCTAAGCTCCCAACGTAAGAATCATGATGAAATAACATTAGGATGGGAAAGTACAAGGTGATGTGATGAAAGTTGCACCTATAGGAAAAACTTAGTTACAGTATGCATGATTAAGAACACATTTCACTCATTTTGCTGTGAGTGGATTTTTCAGTAATAAGTTTGTTATTAAAAGTTGCCAATCATAAATATGTTGTATTGCAGATAACAAGTAAGAACAGCTTACTAATACGAAAACCATTGATTTAATAAGAAAATCCTATAAAGCATAACAAGGGGTGAATACAGTCATAAAACACTGGGTCCAGGGTAGCCCATGTTCTTTGACAAAACCCGTCCACAAGTTTAAAGGCTCGACAACGAAATCCACACATCATCACACAAGGGCATGCAACTAATGCAAGTGAATACGAACTAGAACTAGTAGATGGAGCTTTGGCAAGGAGTATTTGGGAGTGTGGATTTATGTATTGAGTTTTTCTTCCCTCAAGTGGGTCCTCTGGGGGCATTGTTGTTATGTATAAGGATGTGGTTAACTCATCACTCTTTTGGAGATAAGTGCTACCGAGTGATGATTGAGCTGAAGGCAAAAGGTGGGAGGGTATCAAAAAGAGTTTTAGAGATGTCATACTTAGAAAGTCAAAGATTTTGAGGAAAATTGAGGAATTATTAATAGTTTGGAGAATAATAATATATTGGCCATCGATCAATTTAAGAGAAAAGACCTCTTTTGAAACGAGTAAGGGGAGGTATTGTGAGGGAAAAGACTAGTTGTAGGTAGCATTGTTATCAAAATCATATAATTCGTGATTTGATTCCTACGATTCAATTCGATTTGATCCCCATTCAATTCCTATCTTACTAGAGAATCATTTTTGACAAGAAATCGCAAGAATCATGCAATTCGATATGAATAGTAGGAATCGCACGATTTGTTTTATTTCTTTTAAACCAAATTTCTAATAAAACGGCATCATTTTCCTAGAAGATGCCCACGGCCAAATATAAAACTCATCTCTCTCTGTATCTCATGTTTGCACCTCTACATCTCTCAGCAACTGTTCCACAGAGACAACGTCTCCTTCACTCCAATTATGCTTCTTATTTTTCATCATCTATCAAACCCTAACACATCCTACAACTTCTTCAACACATGCTTTGATTTTTGCTTTTAATGAAAAATTTATTTTTTAAGGGTAATTATCATTGACACCCCTCCTAAATCGGCATATCTTTAATGAAATCACCTCTATTATTTAAAATATCACTGATATCCCATGTTAGATTAATTACGTTAACTAAAATACAATTTTACTAAATTGTCCATGATATATTAAAAAAAACTTCATTCATATCCCTTTTAGATAGACATATCTTCACTGACAATAGCTATTTCATCGTGGCCATTTTAATGGAACAATTTATTATGCATTAAGAAAGAAGTAACAGAGGTACATACTCAAGTGTAGCTTCCTATTATTGTATCAAGTGAATACACATTGTTTATTTTTAAAATATAGTAATGTTCAATATTTAATATCTTGCCTATTTTAAATATATACATATTTTTTTTTTTATCTTTGTTCAACTTTTTTGTCGAATCTTACGATTCCCAATTCTCAACTCTAGGGTTTCGATTCCCAATACAAATCTCAATTTGATAACTATGTTAGGCAAAAGATGAGATTTAAATGGATTATAATACTAAGTGTTCCCATAGAATAACAACTGATAGGAGGAAAAAGAGTGTCATTAGAGGACAAGAAACTGAGTAAGTGAGCTTGTGACAAATCTTTTGTCGATTGCCAAGGAGATTATTGAATTTAACAAAAGCCAATATGCAAAAGATGTTCATGTTAGACCAAATATTGAAGGTGTTGATTAGAGTCCTATATTGTCATGGAGAACGAATTGGCGTGAGATCATTCGAGGAGGAGGAAATTAGAATATCTATGTATGACAAGGATAAGGAAAAGGCCTAAGGTTCTAATGGTTTCAATATGTCTTTCTATTAGAATTGTTGGGATAATATTAAGGATGACATTATAAGGGTATTCAACGATTTTTTTCTAAGGATGATATTATGAGTGTATTCAATGTTGTGGGGAAAAGCATTAATCTTACTTTTATTACATTGGTTCCCATATGTAAGAAGTCACAAATCTCCATTCTCCTTATTCCATCCTAATATCACCCTTTGGTCTCACTCTTTGTCTCTTTGGTTGTGTTGCATTTGTTCATCTTGAACCGGATAGGGATAAATTTTCCCCTTGAACGGTTAAGTGTATCTTTATGAGATACTCTCGTACTCTAAAAAGTTTACACTGCTACGACCTTGCCTCTCGTCGAGATTATGTCAATGCCGATGTCACTTTTTTTTTTTTTACTTTAGTAACTAGTCAGAGGAACTTATGTTGT